ACTAACTAACTAACTAACTAACTAACTAACTAACTAACTAACTAACTAACTAACTAACTAACTAAGTAAATAGGTAAATAAATATGTAAGTAATAAGTAAGTAAGTAAATAAACAAAGTAAGTAAGTGAGTAAATAATATAATAACCATAAAAAACACAGTATTCTGTTTGTAGTTTTACAGTTTGCTGGTGTAAAAGACTGACAGGTGTCCAGCTAAACTGTCACTGATATGTTGCTGTTCTGTCACACAGTCCAGCAGCTGAGGGGGCCATCCTCGGTTTAACAGCTCAACACAGGGTTCCTGGGTTTTTATAGCAGAGTCACAGTCTCACCTGTTACAACACTTACAATAACTGTTGTAATAGTCACAACAAATGTCTGACTCACCTGCACAGGAAGGAGTAGAAATGATGAATGTGTCCGTTTCACCTGTTAGTGTCAGTGTGGAAGAGTCATGGCCGAGCAGCAGCAGAGGATTTGTGTCATAGTTGAACTAACTGCTGCTGAACACATGCACGCACACACACACACACTCACACTTTGCTCATGATATTTATAGCCTTCTCCTGCCAGTGGCGCCTGCATAATTTTTTTCATGGGGGGCCATGCCCCCCCCTGGGCACTGAAAAACCAGGGGTGGCACACCAAAACTGATATCTATAACAGAAAATTTATGATGTGTTTGTGAAGATTACAAATTGAAAACCATGGCAATATAAAGCCATGGATTTGCCAACAAATGTTCAATTTGTAATTTCACAGATAATATCACTGATTTTATGACATTCAGAGACAAAAAACAAGAGTAAGTATTTGTAATGTTGGGGGGACCCACTGGCAGAAAATCTTTCAAGAAGTAAATGCCATTTCCTTCTTTTTTTTTTTTTTTCGATAAAAATCGGAAAAAAAAAGTAAATGCCATTTCCTGCATTCTGGTGTATTTTAGCAGGTTGTTAAACAGATTTTTACCTACATAGGAAAACACTAAATGTGAGTATTCTTTAGGTAAAATGAAATTAATTTATTTGTTAAGCAAGAGAAACAACACTGGATGAACTAATGTTTTATGGTAAATGTAAATGGGGTTTAAATGAATTAAATATTAAAATTGATGAGGACAGTTACCTTCAAAAATGATTGTCATTTTATTTAAAAATGTCAAAATACATATTTTAAAGACATTTACAATGAACAAGCTTTTTAAAATTTAAAGGCATCACCTCTTCTATGTGTGTTAAATTTTTTATTTGCTTGTTGATGTTTACTTTTGTGAAGAAAAACTGTGATTATAAAACCCCAAAACTGGAAATAAAGACTAAAACAAGCACAATTACAAACTACTGTACATCTACTGTAGTGTTTTTCCAAATTATTACATTATTTGCTTTTTTATGTCATATAATAAATATGATTTTGGTCTGAGAGAAAACTAGAGTACCTGGAGAACAGAAAGTTCATCTAGTAACCTTCTTCCTTAGAGGCAATGGGCCTCATGCAAGAACCGTTCGTACGCACAGATTTGTTCTTAAGTTGTGCGTACGAGTGATTTAGGAGAATTTGTGGCATTCACCAATGTTTTGCAGGAGAAAGACCCCGCTCTCCCCAGAGACACTTTCCAGCTCGTCCTGGGGGACTCTGAGACGTTCCCAGACCAGAGGGG